CCCACGCGCCCCGAGGCCCCCCTAGGAGACGTGGTCCGGGGCCTCCCGGTCCCTGCTGCCCGGTGGGGCCTGCGATGAAGTCGGCCTGGAGTGGTAAACTTGGGTGTTCTGAGCACCCTCGGTGGCCGAGGAGAGGGGAGTGGCCCTCGGGGGCGCCCGAGGGGTGGGGTGGGAATCCGGGCTGGCCAGCGGCTCGGTGGGCGCGGGGAATCCAGAGATCCACACCTCCCCGCCCCCTCCCCCCGGGGCTGAGAAGTGGGTCACACCCGGGGCCTCCGGGTGCCAAACGCCCCGCGAGGGTGGGGTGCGAATCCGTGGAATGCCTTACCTTGGTCTGCAAACCGCAAGTAGGTCATGACCCCAGAGGGCAGGTCTGCGCCAACAGTTGAGTCGGTGGCCGGTCTGGACTGTGTAGCCAGATCTTGTCTCAGAAAGAAACGAAAGACAGAGATAAGCCCCGAGCAGGTGGCCACAGGCCCTGCTTGCCTGCCTGAAATTCACGCTACTGAGGAAGCTGAGATCTGAGGATCCTGGATCCAGGCCAGTCAGGGTAGAAAAATCCATGAGACTCTTAATCTTCAACTAGCGAGCAAAAAGCCGGAAAGGGGAGGTGTGGCTCAAGTGGTAGAGCTCTAGCCTTGAAGGGAAAAAAAAAAAGCCAAGGAAGAGCCACTCTACCACTAACCAAACCAAAAAGATAGAAAATGGGCAGTGGGGCGCAGCATAGCAAGCAGGGAGAGACCGTTGTTGATAGCACATTTGTGTGGGAATCGCTTTCTTTGCAACCTGGACACCTTCTCCAATCTACTTTGAGATTATTCTAGGTTTGGGGGTGAGGGGTGAGATCTGGGAAGACTGGCAACCAGCAGTAATCCAGAAAGCTAAGTAAGTGAATTCTCAAGAGGAAGATTATCTCCAGACCTGAAGAAAAGCCAATGATCTTCCAGACTTGCTTAGAATCATTTGGGTAACCTTAAAAGAAAAAGAGGCCCTGGCTGCACCCCCAGACAAATTAGATCAGAATGTCTAATGGGATTGACTGGAATTTTTTTGGCATAATTTTCCATTGTGTATCCAGGTTTGAGAAACCACAGAGTGATGATGTGGTACCAGTCAGCTCTCTAGCCATCTTATCCCTGTCAAAATCAATGGGAGACATGGGGTCTTCCTGAGCAGAACCCCACAAGCATGTTTCCCATTGATAAATTGTCTGCATCTGGCCAGCAGAGCACTTTTTCCCTTAGCTGATTCCTGAAATCCTGTCCTTGGAATCAAGAATCCCTAAGCCATCTGGGGGGTATTCCTTATATCTAATCATGATAGTCTTTCCCTGAATGATTTCTGATGGCTATTCATTGGTTAGCAGGACCTTCAGAAGGAAAACGAAGTTTTCAAAAACTGTTTTCTCTGGACTGGTGCTTAGTGAATCCAACCCAGTGTTGCTCAATGCAGGAACCAATTCTATAGAGATGCCAGGAACTGGGCCTCCCACAAGTGTTCAGTGAACTAGCTGTATTTGCATATTTGAGAGCATGGAAGGCCAGGAAGGGGTGTGGGGAATGGAAGGGATTTGGGAACTATCTTCTGTGATCCTCTTATTTGCTATTAAAATACTATTACTCCCATATTTGATATAAAACAAGTATGACAAAGTGCAGTCATGTTTCAGAAGTGGTCGTCATCATTCATCTCAGAACTTTCTGTGGCCGTTAGGCTTCAAGACCCTCTCTTCTGTCCACCATCATAGACCAGGCCTTTGTCCCTTTGTCCAGGGTGCATGAAAGGCAAGGTAGTGTCATGAAAGAGCTGAAGGTTAAAACCATAGCTAACACTGAGACCCAATGGAGCTCTCTGTGTTTATTAAGTGTTTCAGTCCACATAGAAAAATTATCTTAGAAAAATTTTTTTTTAAATCATGCTTATATTTCTGGCTATTCAGGAGGCTGAGATCTGCAGATCAAGGCTGAAAGTCAGCACAGGCAGAAAAAGTCTGAGACTCTTATCTCTACTTAACCACCAGAAAATCAAAAGTAGAGATGTGGTTCAAGTGGTACAGTGCTAGCTCAAGAGAGAAGCCAAGTGGGCTGGGAAGGTGTCTCAATGGTAGAGTGCTTGCCTTGTGTGTATGAAGCCCTGGGTTTGATTCCTCAGTACCACACAAGCAAAAAAAGCCAGAAGTGGCACTGTGGCTCAAGTGGTGGAGTGCTAGCCTTGAGCTAAAGAGCTGAGGGACAGTGAGTGCCCCAGACCCAGAGTTCAGGCCCCATGACTGATGAGAGAAAGAGAGAGAGAGAGAGAGAGAGAGAGAGAGAGAGAGAGAGGCAGGCTAAAGTGACAGTGCAAGGTCCTGAGTTCAAATCCTAGTACTGGCATGTACACGCACACACACAGACAAAGACACAGACAGACAGACAGACAGACAGACACACACACACACACACACACACACACACACACACAAACTTACCCAGTTTAGCTATATGAAATGCTCTTGAACATATACCTTCCAAGAAATAAGTAGGTGGCCTCTTAAGTAATCCCATAGCCACCCAAATAATTACAACATGCTGAGGGCAAAAAAAAAGAAAAAGGAAATCCACCATATTGTTACTCAATGTAGAAAAGCATTATTTAGGAAAATCAAATCTACTAGTTTGTAACTTAGTGAAGACTTTTATTTTTAGTAGTTGCCCCAATTTCTAGGTTTTCTTGCTTCACACAGAGTGTGTCTCCAATACAGTGTCAGGAAGTGGGGGGCGGGTAGGGGAAATATCCGGTGTGTTCTGGTATGAACAGTAATTCCCAGTTTTTATTCTTGAGTTATTAAAAACTAGAGATGCATTCTCAGCTAACTTACTTCATAACTCAGCATCTCCTTCCCACATTAATTCTAGAATATCTCGACATCTCCCCATTTCCAAATGGTAAGAATAAGAACGGAGATCAAAAATAGGTAAAATAAGGGGGTTCACACCTATAATCATAGCTACTCAAGAGGCTGAGATCTGAGGATAGCAGTTCAAAGCTAGCCTGGGCAGGAAAGTGTGAGACTCAGTCAACATCAAAAAGCCAGAAGTAGGAGATGAGGTTCTATAATGCTAGCTTGAGTGTAAAAGCTAAGGGATAGTGCCCAGGTGTTGGGAGCAACTACGCTACCAGCACCAAAAATAAGAAAATAACATAATAGGTCTATGATTCTGGCAGAGCAAGAGAAATAACTCTCACCCTTGCCCCAGTGACTAAATCAACAGTATTTAATTAGCTGGCGAGTAGTATGCAAAAATGTCAATATTTGCACTCAAAACCCATTATCGGAAGTTTTATGTGATGAATGTTATGAAAAATATTACAGCAGAGTGACACAAAGTTCAAAAAAAGAAAGGAAGGATATGACAGCCCAGTAGCTCATGCCTGTAATCCTAACTGCTCTAGAACTGAGAATTTCAGTTCAAGGCTAGTCTTGGCAGAAAAGTCTGCTAGACTCCATTTTCAAAACAACCAGCAAAAAGTAGGGCTGGAAACATGGCTCAAGTGGTAGAGCAACAAACTAGCAAACAAGCTGAACAAATATGAGGCCCTGAGTTCTAACTCTGGTATGAAAGAGAGAGAGGCAGAGACAGAGACAGAGAGGGAGGAGAGAGAAAAAGGGAAAAGGAGAGAGGAGAGCCAATATATAAGAGTGCATGAGAAATGCCAGTGACAAATGAAGGTTAATACTTAGAACAAAGCATAATGGTCAGGAAAGCATCAGGTGATTCCAAGGAAATTAGGGACTGAGCAGGGCACTGGGCTGGAGTCAGAAAGAGACAGGCTGCAAAGAGACCTGAGAAACCTCTGTAGGGTGTATTCTGAGTTTTGGAGAACACTTGGAGATTTTTAGCAAGGGAGTGCAGGCTATTTGGAGGTTGTGTCTAAGTTGCTGGAATGGAACTCTAGAAGCCAACACCCAGTTTTGCTAACTACACAATAGTTAAAGGGATAAAATTTGAGAGCAGAAATTCTTAATTTCCCCCCTTGAAAATAAATCGAAATTCAGGATAGGAGTCATGTTTACTCTTTACCAACCAAACCCACCAAACAGACATAATGATTATAACAACCCTTGCATTTCCATTCCTCCTCTGACCAAAGAAATTTCTGGGGAGGAGTACACAGAATTTGGAGACTGATTAGATAAGAAACAAGAAAAACAAACTTAAAGATGACTCAGAAGTTTGAGAGTTTGTGAGACCAAGGGGTTCTGTTGGAAAGATCCAAGGGTCCAACCAAGGTCAGGTGGTCATTTAGGGAAGAAATAATCAATTTGGTTCTATGCTGGAGGGGTATACAATCTATATCTACGAAGAACTGTCTAGCAAGAGATTAAAATGTGGATGGATATGTGTAACCCTGGTTGAACAGGAAGTAACCAAGACAGAGAGCAAACAGAAGCTCATGTTGTATTGGGAAGCCCTGCCTTAGCAGGTATGAAGAGTAAAGGGAAAGAGGGAGATTTAAAAAGGGAGGAAGCTAATACTCTAAGGACAGGATACTGAGAACCCAACATTATCATTCTCTGTGTAGGTAAGGCTACTGGTGTTTAGCAAAGTTAAGAAACCAGCCCCAAACCACATAGCTCAGGAGGGGGTGGAGCTGAGTGAGGCTCTGAAGGCCTCCAATGGGTTGCTAGGCCTCTCTCCTAGGAAATCTCCCAGCTCACCCTGAGCCCAGAAGCTTTCTCTACTCTCCTAATTCACTCTGTGTGCCAGTCATTTGCTAAGCTGCTGGGAAGCCCCTCCTTTCTATTTGCAGTCATAACAGCCTGAAATCCTGGTTTGCCATTTACCTTCCAATATAGTCTATGAGGTAATTTGGTCCATACATATAGCTATACTTATAGGCAAGTTCATGTTGCAGAATAAGTGGTGTGTATTTTCTTAAAGTAATTGGAAATAATTGAGCAGATAACTTTTCCGTATAAAGGAGTGTTAGTCCCCAATAATTCATTAAGTAAGGTTGTCAGTGTGGGAGAACAGGCAGAGTTTGTTTGTTTGACAAGGTTCAGATTCAGTAGGATTTGTTCACAGTGACCCAGTATTGACATTAGATAAATAAAAAGTATGCAATGATAGCATTTTGATACTTTGTGTGGTATAAATACCCAATAAATATTAGCGCTAATTTATGATCATGGCTGACATGAATGCTTTTCATGTAATCTACAAAAAAAATGAACATGCCATGACACAGAGTCTGAAGAGTCTGTTAAAGAAATATATCAGATGTTTAAAGGAGATGCCAACAATGTTGAGATCATCCACTTGTCTTCCATATCCTGTCCTCACCCATTAGTATTGTTCTGGCAAACATTAGGTCA